TCTCTCTCTCTCTCTCTCTCTCTCTCTCTCTCTCTCTCTCTCTCACAAGGCTCCAACACCAGCTTTGGGGCAATGAGTACTTTTGGCCTCCATTCCAAGTCTAAAAGGCCAGCCCTCTCCCTCCAGAGCCTCCCACCTGATTTGTTAGTTTCATTGGCCCACCCAAGGAAGGGTGCAGAACTGGGTGTCCCTGGGCCTCTCAGAACCCAGCTCAAAGGCAGCAAAGAATTTCATGCTCACTCTACCCTGAGCTGAGTCTGCATAAGCAGGCTTGCCCCAGTTTTTTGCTCCTGAGGACCTGGCCACACTAGCCTGATACTGACTAGCTCGTGTGGCTGGAATGGTGTGGGTCATGCCGCGTGAACCAGGAGGAGATGTGTGTGTGTCTGTGTGTGTAGATGCTGCCTGAGTCGTGTTGGTGTCAAAAGCAAATGAATTTCATTGTTTAAATGTTTTATTATATAAATAGTGTACACAGGGACCATATCCCCTTGTCATGTTATCTGTGATTATAAAACATGCATTTGCAATAAATTAAGCTCTCTGGGAACACCGGCAAGCAGTATTGGAGCCAAATGAATGTCTTGGAACGTGAGTGTTATCTCAGGTCACATCAAGTCCAAAGCCAACTGAGACCTTCCCTACCCTCCTGGCTTTGTGGGGAGGGACACAGGAACTCTTCTTGCTCCTTCTTAGAGCTGCATTTTAAGGTCACCCTGAAGTTCCTGTACTCTGCTTGAAAGTGCAGTGTTCTAAAAGACAGTTTGACGTTTCCATTGTTTTATGTTTTTTTTTTAAACATATCTGCTTTATGTTGGGAAATAAAAACCTCTATTTTGTTCTATGAAATATTGTGTGGTTTGGAGACTCTTTTTTTTTTGTCCTGCAGTAAAGGGGTTTATCTCAAGGGCTATGAGGAGAAAGGGGGTGTGTGGCTTATCTTGACACGCTCACCTCCAGACAGGATTAGTGCCTCACTGCGCAGGGCTGAACTCAAGGTGACCGCGGTCCTCTAGCCAACATAAGCATCGCCAGTCCCTGGGAGTATCTTCAGAAACATTCCCAGTGTCTCCTAGACCTCCTCAGTCAAGGTCCCCAGGGGTGGGCCCCGGGAACTTGGAAAATTCCAAAATGCACACTGAGTAGAAAGACCCTGAATAGACCCGGTCACTAGGGAGGGGAAGCCGGGTCCTGTCCAGCAGCTTCACACCCAACCCCAGGGGTCAATGTCCACCATGACAATTTGTTTAACAAACAGTCTGACAATTTGTTTTCCCAGCCCACAGTGCAGTATAAACTGCAAATAAGAGGAGAAAGGGCATTGTCAGAGGACGGGAGGGTGGGAGGCACTGTCCTCAAGTTCATGGAGAGACCGGCCGTGAACCCAGGCCCTGCCACACGTTAATGAAGTCTCCTGATGATGGCCATGGCTGACAGCCCTGGCCCGGCAAGGAAAACAGGGCGTGTGCTCAGAATCTTCTGCTTACAAAAGCTCAGGGGTGAGGAATTAAAATAAAATTTTACCACTTGTATCATTTGTTCCCCAGCATGAGATTTCTTTCTTAATTTGCCATTATT